ACCCCTTTGGGAAAAGCTAGCCATGGTATTTTTGATCAAAAGCAGTTGGTATTAGAAATCTTTCAGGGAAACCTTCTCTCATAATGTAAGCAAAAACTTGGTATTAAAATCTCACATTTCAGCTCTCCCAACTTTTCAAGGCTCGTAGACCACTATTAGTCTTCATTAGAATGCAATGGGAGCTACCACAGCCAAGTGATCATTTGCATCCTGTATTGCAAGTCTCGTCTCCTCATTTCTCTCTCTCGTTCTGAAAATTCGTTTATTTTTCAAATATCGCAATCTGATCATGTATCTGTCTCCCCCACCACTGCCCCTCAAAGACTACCTATGAGTTTCTCCTTGCTCTAATTTAATAGGCAATCTGCATCTGTTCTTCCTGGGCTCCCTACCCCCCCACCAGCTGTTGACCTATTCCTTATTGCCATTGCCTCCCTAATATTGAACACCCACAAGATGGAACAGCACAAGCTTGTAGAGTATGGGGGAGGGGGAAACAATGGGCAGGAAATTAATTCAAGGATTAAAAGTTCAATATCCAAATACCATTCCCTGAGCAAAGCAATTTCTTTCTTATCACCCCCCACCCCATTTCTAAATATTTACTATGTAAGCAGTTAATGGTCTATATAAATACATGACTGTGCAAGGTATTCTAATTGTAAATTAATAAACCACAAACCTTATTTCTTCTCAAACCAGTGCTAAGATAATGGGCTGTGGTTTGATCTTGAGGGCATTTTTTTTTTTTTTTACAGGACAGGTATAAAAAACTAAATACGGTGATTTTCCCACTATAACCCTCTATTCTAATCATAATAGAACAAATAATGTTATTTCAATAGAACATGCATTCTCTTTCCAAGCAATCTACTCTATGCATGTTGTATTTTCATTTTCCCCTCAGTAGAGAAGCAATAAGTCATCTGCAAATATTTATCTATATGAAATCCAGCATAGGATCTTATGAAAATATTTGTTCTATAAAGGAGATAACATAACTGAAAATGAGATTGCAGGATTATGGTTGGATTAAAAAATAAAAAAGACCAGAGAAAGAAAACATCACCCCATAATTACTGGTCCTCTCTCCTCCCTTCTTATTGGTGTCTCCCTCTCCTTGGATTCCAGAGCTTGTTTTATTTCTCAGCAGCTGGTCTACAGTGTGGGAGCTTCGACTCACAGTGGGAAACCTGAATGAAACTGCAGAAAGGGAATAAAGAAAAGTTTATTTCTGGCGTTTGCAGCAGATGGACCTGCTTCTGATTCTCTTAGACACAAAGGCGGCTTTACAATATTCCTGAAAAAGAAACGAGAAAAACAAGAGTGGAAATATGACTAGAAATTTCCAACAGGTAAGAAATCAGAGGATTCGTAAGCAAACTGAAGAAGTCAAGTACTACACCATAAGCCAGCTGAAGGAGAAAAACATCGCTGAAATATATATTTCCAAGTGTCGTTTTATTCTGCATTTCTGATTAAGGATGGTTGGAAAGCATAATGAAGATTACAGGTTTGTAATACCTGCAACTGTAAGTCTAAGATTTCTTTTTTGCCAAAACTTTTATTGATCGCTTTGGGGAGGAGGGGGGAATATTCCATTCCAGTATATCTAGAGAGTCCTTTGAATGAGGTGCTCATTTTCATATGCTTATTTTATGATCAAACTATGGCTTATAACTTTCTTTGACTTCTCAATGTTTCAGCTTCAGGAATAACAGAACCAGAGTAAATGGTTTCTCTTTTGTGATGTTGTGAAACTGTCTGCTTATGGTACAGAATTTTTTTTAAATGAGAGAACCAAGGGGCATTGCAGAATCACAGATATGACTTCTTATTCTAAACACTTCAAAAATTAATCAGACTTTGTTTCATTTCAAGGAAGTAGATGATGTTAACATTTACAATTGGTTTAAACAAAGTTGATGCTCATTACATCAGAGTTTAATTCATGCTGCCCAGCACAGTGATGTCATTTATTCTTCAAAGGCAACATAGCTGAGACTATGTTTTCCAGAGGGGCATAATAATTACCATGTTAAGGGAATGATTAAATTACCTTTTATTATACTATAATATATACTTTTCTGAACCCACATTGCAGAGCAATCCAGTAACAATGTCCAATTATCAGAAATGAAGCTTTTCCCTGGAACAGTGACAAAAATACTTGGTGTGCGAAGAATGAATGAACTACAGCCCAACAGATTAGAAGGTTGTTAAAGGGACATTCCTTAAAGGTAACGTGCCAAACTAGTCGAGTCCACACTGCCTGCAGCAGGAGGACACTTCGCACTTGTTACTGAACTCTGCAACAGTGGCTAAGCAATTCGGCACAGCAAATAATTTGTAAAACATCACAAAATGGACGCAGCTTCATCTCGTACTCGGTCATCATAGCCTCCCCCCCCAGCAGAGAAAATGGGATTTTTCTGGCAAGTTGCATGGCTCCTAGCTAGATCCTACTTCGCTACCTGGTTTTCTCCAGGAGGTAAGGGTTTGGATGTGCATGGGGCAGGCCAGCAGAGTGATCAGAGCAAGTAGGAGAGGCCAGATGAACAGAGAATCTCCTCCCGGACAACAGCCTTTCTACAGAGCTGGACTCTGGATCCATGGACATCCCTGCACTAGCAGGGACTCCCTGTCTTTTCAGCACATGCATCCTACTGTGTAGCACAAATGCAGCAGGACAGTTATTGCCTCTCAGACCAGTGGTAACTGATGGTGGAGTCCAGGGATATGTTGCATTTAACTGCTGTTCATCCTCCAGCTGGCTACGTCACACCAGCTGCTTCATGCCCCAGCTATGTCACCTGTTCACAAATGGCCTGACCTGCCAAGTACCAGCTCCTTCAGCGCCCACATATATACCCGAGTTGCAGTGTTTTTCAGGCCCAGAACAGATGAGAGGACTAGTTGAGGTGCGGGGTACTATTGCCACCTGTTCTCTCCCCCAACTGTATGGTACATGCGCGGGACCAAGCAGGCTGTTTCAGCCTTTAGATTGCACCGACATGCCAGGAGTGGCTTTGCAAGTCCCTTTTCCACTCTCTCGCATATCTATCTGTACAAGATCAAGTCTGTCTCCTTAGGCTGGATGTAAGGCTGAGTGTTTGGACCACATTTGGATCAACACAACCACAGAAAGGTAACAGGGAGAAAGCTATTCCCCATTCTAGCATAACTGAGCCAGACCTTTCTTTTTATTGTGCTCAGGGCAATTTATTCCTGCTTGCCATCAGCTCTTTCACAGATTCCTTAGACACAGTTTCTTGATTTGGAATGGCAGGGTGAACTGCAAACAGCGGTGGCAGAAGGAAGCCACCCAAGGTGGAATTTCAGGTGAGGATTTTTTTTGACCAAGATGAGTACAGATCTGGGAGTCATAAAAATCTACATACGGGTCCTCAGTTCAGTCATGAACTTGTTGTGCAACCGTGTTCAAACCACTGAACAGAGCTGTGCCTCACTGACCTAGTAATGGTAAAACCTTTTTCTGTAAAATGTTTGACAGAGATGCCATGCAAGTACAAAGTGTTCATCACAGTGATGAATTTTCTTTTATTTGTGTCTTTTCTTAAAACTTACATTGCTTCCTTTTCCTGGCTTCTTCACAGGGCGGTCACAGTGTAATATTTATTTCTAGGGGAAAAGAAGAACCTGCTTCTAGTTTATTTTCCTATAACTCCACAGCCACAGGATTAAGGTGAGTCACATTTGTCTTGCCTTAAAAGGGATGTTAACTATGATGCTAAACAGTTTTTAAAAACTAAAAAGGATGAACAAGCAGCTATGTGGGTCCTTTTCCTTTTCAGGTTTGAAATGCTATGCCATCTCTCTGCCCCCAGGGCAGGGGGTCGGACCAGAAGATCTACAAGGTCCCTTCCGACCCTACATCTATGAATCGATGAAAAATTTTCAAGCCTTTGCTTTAAAGTTCATTTTACAACTCACCGCTACCTTAAATTCACCACCATCTATTTATTAGTGCTGACCCAGATCTGTTCGCATTTGCAATAGTTTTACAGCTTTCTAATGATGTCAACAGATATATGTTTTACACATGTAAATCAGAAGGAAGTCAGAGAAAGAGTAGGTCTTTGTTTTTAGAGATGAGCTATTGCATTTCAGATTCCTTTGTATGTATGCAAAGGAGAGTGAACCTGAGGCTAGATCCCACAGGAAGATACTTGCATACATGACAAAGATTCTGCCTCCAAGATGGAAAGCAAAGTATCATGCTGTTGCACCCTGGTCTGTTATTTCCACACTACTATGAGGTTCATATCCTGCAGAACTCATGGCAATGGTATCCAAGGACAGGACACTGCATCTTGTAGAGTGGTTAGCGTGCTTGACCACATGCATTCCTTCACTTTGTCTGCATGATCTTTTTTTAAGTTCATTCTGCCCAAGCGTAATAGACTGTGTCTGATTGTTGCGAGTGGTCAGAATTTCAGCACACTATCTCCTTGTAGAGTGGAGGAGGAAATGGGTGTCAGGCCTAAATTTAGCTCTTTTGACTATAGAAACAGGATTCCTCAGTTTCCCAATAATGGCTGGGCCATTTTTGGTCAAATATTCCAAAAGCACACACCTTTAGCCAATGACTGAGCCTAGACGATTTCATCCCAGGAGGTGAAAGTTATCCACAACAGAAATAAGAGGCTTTGAATGAAAACCACTAGGCAGCTTCATACAGCAAATATGCTGTAGTCTGTGAAAAAAAATCTGTCAAATCTTGGAGACGGCAGGTACAGAAATCTCAGAAAAGCAATGAAATCTGTTTTACAAGAGACCTGACCATTAATGTTGTCCCCTTTGCTCTTATTTTCAGAATTCATCAATACTGTAAGTACATCTATAAATCTGTCCAAATACAGCTTTGTGAAGATCAATATAAAATTGGACCCTATTAAGGCCTTGGGAGGCTCCAAGCAAATATCTACTAAATAATTAAGGCAAACAAAAAACTCCCTATCCTAAAATTGTACCCATGGTTTCAGAGTTCCTTGATGATGGATAAAACAATTCAGCATCCCAGCGTGGGTCTGTCTAATCGAACTATTGTAAATAGGAGCAACTCACAGTTCTCAGACTTCGAGTCATGTCAGCTTTCTTTCCCTGTGGTCTTCTTGCTCATCACGGCTTACACCGTAGTTACCATAGTAGGGCTTTTTGGAAACCTTTGCCTGATTATTATAATAAAAAGACAGAAAGAAGCTCAAAATGTTACAAATATTCTGATTGCCAACCTCTCCTTATCGGACGTCATGATATGCATCATGTGCATTCCCGTCACTGTTGCATACGCTTTGATGGACTACTGGATTTTTGGCGAAGCCATGTGTAAAATAAGCTCGTTTGTACAAAGCATGTCTATCACAGTCTCTATATTCTCACTTGTACTAATTGCTGTTGAGAGATACCAGCTAATAGTAAATCCCCGTGGCTGGAAGCCTAATATTTCACATGCTTACTGGGGAATTATCTTAATTTGGGGGTTTGCCCTCATCATATCCATTCCTTTTTTCATATTTCATCAATTGACTGATGAACCCTTTAAAAATCTCTCTCTCCATGGTGATTTCTACAAGAACAAAGTTGTTTGCATTGAGACATGGCCATCCGTTACAGAGCGACTGATTTTCACCACCAGTCTCCTGGTTTTCCAGTACTGCTTCCCACTGGGTTTTATTTTTATCTGTTATCTCAAGATATCTGTATGTCTCCGACGGAGACACGGTAAAGTGGATAGGATGAGGGAGAATGAGAGCAGACTAAATGAGAACAGAAGGATTAACATGATGCTGATTTCAATTGTCGTGACCTTTGCTGCTTGCTGGTTGCCTCTGAATATATTTAATGTTGTTTTTGACTGGAATTATGAAGCCTTGATGAACTGCCACCATAATCTAGTGTTTACATTATGCCACTTAGTAGCCATGATCTCAACCTGCATCAACCCCATCTTTTATGGATTTCTTAACAAGAATTTCCAGAAGGATTTAATAGTGTTAATTCACCACTGCAGATGCTTGGCATCTCAGGAGGCTTATGAAAACATCGCCCTTTCAAACCTGCAAACAGACAACTCTAAGGGGTCCCTGAAATCCAATAACATGCCAGTGACTATTTAATATAATCCAGTCCAGAAGTTTCCAAAACTTTGTATTTATTGTGAAGTGACATTCTTTAGAGGAACTATGCAGGTCTCAATCCTGTTCCTACCAAAGTCTTTGCCACCAAGTTCAGCGGGGTAGGATCGTGCCCCAAAAGATAGATGTATTTTGTACTTTATCGGTGATTAATTCTAGCAAGTCACACCCAAGAATGTCAAAGTCAATGAGAGTGAAATACCAACAGTATTAGCATATCGGCTTTTCGCCTCTGATTTCAAGATGAGGGACGTGCTGCCAGAATGCAGAAATAGTCGGCCGTCTCAGCCCATGATATACGCAACAGTCCCTACATCAAACGGTTCCTCCTGTTCTGCCTACACCATCCAATTTTACCATCACCCCCACAATCCCATTAGTCCTTCGGCTGACATCCCTAGCCTCACGCTTCTCAATGAACCATACTCATCTTTGCCCAACATCTCATAGAGGTTATGCCAAATGTGTGGTCAATCCTTCCAGCAGGAGTTGAGACAGGCAGGAACTTTAATTTAGATGTAGATTGTGAGGAAAGGAAAGGCTGGGGAAAAGCGAGATCTCCATGTTCTGGGCCTGAGCTCATAGGTGTCGGGTGCAAACAGCAACTGGGTCTGCGCCTTCTCCTTACACCCTCGTGCTGGAGCAGTGGCAAGGATCTGGGGAAAGCAGAATGCGTGCCCCGCGGATGGGTAAGAGCACTTGTGAGAAAAGGAGAGAGGAGCCTCCCCTCCAGCTCTTCTTGCAACAAGGGCAAACGCTCTTGCTGCATGAGAATTGAGCCTGCAGAAGGCAGCTCAGGTCCTCCTCAAGCAGGTGCCAAGGGTTGGCTCTGCTCCTAAAGCCTCCCTTGGCACCTGCAGGTTGGCCTGAGAAAAAAAAAAATTATTTCCCCTATATCTACCCCTATTGCTCCTTGCTTAGCTAGGGGCTGGCTGTGCCCAACAGAGACGTGAGGGGTCAAAATGTATTCTGCGGGACACCCCCTTAATGTGCTCATTTTATATAAGGAGCATGGGGTGCCATGCATCTCTCCCCTTCAGCCGCAGGACATGGTTAATTTGCTGTCTATTGATTTATAGTTTCCAAGCTTTCACCACAAGGAAAAAGGCTAGAGTCTGTTTTTTTTGCTGTTTAGGAAAGCAAGGATAAGCCCAAATTGTGCTCTTACATGTCTTATCCAGCTCAACAGTGTTTCAGATAAAAATGCATATGGTATTCTGCATAATTGCACTGTTTTCTCCTCACTCGCCAGTACAAATTGTAGGGTTCTTTGTTTTAAATACCACCGGGCCCGAGAGCACGCTCATTGGAACAGCCGATATCAAACACACTGTGAATTCAGAATTAGTCATTTGTTTCAGCTACTTACACAGATGAAAACTGGCTTCTCTGAAGGGAAAATGAGTTGCGTTCTTCAGGTTGCAGAGATTTCCTCCTCCCAATCCCTGTGTGTTACCAAGAGGTGAGGCACAGTTGATGAGGCATATTTTAGACAGGCTGGTTTTTGTTTCAGAGTGTGCATCTAGTTGAAAATGCCTATAAAATGAAAATATAGTAGGGCCATGCCTGGACATCTAAAGATATATTACCAAATGCTAATTTTCTTCGAATTAAAAGATACTGAAAACTGTGTTACAATATAATACATTTTCAAAAATATGAGAAGACTCATTGAAAATGTGCTCCAGCCTCTCCATGGTACCGTCAGTGCAGACAATTAGGAATGGTGCTGAGACACAAGTCCATTAGCTGCTCTTCATATTGCACTACTATGATAGCACTTTATCCCCCATTGGCTAGTTAGAACAGGTGTCTGCATTTCAACAATTATATCATATCTCTATATATACCTATATACAGATATAGATATTGAGATATATAGATATAAATATGTGTGTGTGTATGTGTGTGTGTGTGCAGGTGACTTTTCTCACCCTACAAATCCTTCAACAGCAACTGACAATAATGTCACAAACAGAGCATAATTGCTATGTAGAAGGCTATACGTGGAAGTCTTTTTTTTCTAATTGAGAAGTAATGTTTTCAGACTTAACTTTATGCTGTCTTGTTTATTTATGCCTGCCAAGCCCTAGGCAGATCTGTTGTCCCTTCAGAGATCAGTTAACCCAAAGACAGTCAACCCATAGCTTGCGGCATAGATAACCACTGTGGGGTACGCATCTGGTAGGTGATAGAGAAGGGAACAGCAACAGATAAGGTAGGGAAGGGGATTGGAGGGCATTTGAAGAGGGTACAGGGCTTACCCTACGTTACTCCTGCCAAAAAGGCTGGCCTCGACTGAATTCTAGTCAATCCCCTTACCAACAATGCAGGATCAATTATACCTGAACCATCTTCAAGATGAACCTCTAACCTGTTTTTAAAAGCCTCCAAAAATGGAGACTCCACAGTTTTCCTAGGCAATTTGTTGTAGCACTTAGCTATGCTTAGAAGTTAAAAGAAAATGTCTAATATTCAACCTAAATCTCTCATGTTGCAATTTAAGTATGTTGCTTCTTGCCCTATTCCCTGTGGGTATGGAAAACAATTGTAGAATCACTGAAAATGGGAGTTGGAAGGGACCTCAGGAGGTCACATCCAGTCCATCCCCTTAATCAAAGCAGGACCAGCCCCAACTACATCATCGCAGACAAGGCTTTGTCTAGCTGGGTCTTAAAAACCTCCAAGGATGGAGATGCCACCACCTCTCTGGGTAACCTGTTCTAGTGCTTCACCACCCTCCTAGTGAGAACGTTTTTCCTACTATCTAACCTAAACTTCCCTTGCTGCAACTGGAGCCCATTGCTCCTTGTTCTGCCATCTGCCCCCACTGACAATGGTCCAGCTCCATCCTCTTTGGACCCCCCTGCAGGGAGTTGAAGGTTGCTATTCAATCCTCTCTTGGTCTTCTCTTCTCCAGACTAAATAAGCCCAGTTCCCTCAGCCTGTCCTCACAAGTCATGTTCCCCAACCGCCTAACCACTTTTGTTGCCCTCCGCTGGACTCTCTCCAATTTGTCCACATCTTTTATATAGTGGGGGGCCCAAAACTGGACACAGGACTCCAGAGGTGGCCCCACCAGTGCCAAATAATCACTTCCCTCGATCTGCTGGCAACGCTCCCACTAATGCAGCCCAGGATGCCGTCAGCCTTCTTCACACTGTTGGCTCATATTCAGCTTAGCATCCACTGTAACCCCCATGTCCTTTGCTGCAGAGCTGCTGCTTAGCCAGTCAGTCCCAGCTTGTACTAGTCATGGGGCTGTTCTGTCCTAAGTGCAGGACTTTGCACTTGTCCTTGTTGAACCTCATGCAATTTCCTTTGGTCCAATTCTCCAATTTTCAAGGTCTCTCTGAATCCTCACCCTACTCTCCAGTGTATCTAGTACTCCCCCTAGTTTGGTGTTATCCACAAACTTGGTGAGGATGCACTCTATCCCAGCTTCCAGGTTGTTGATGAAATATAGCAGTTGCTGTTTAAGGAGAGCTGAGAGGTGGGACCTGAACCCACAATCCCTGGATCAAGGGACCAGTGCCTTGTCCATTAGGCACAAACTATTTATTAAACTTCCTCTTTGCAGCAACCTTTTATATATTCGAAGACCGTTACCATCTCTTTCTTTTGGCTCCTTTCCACTCCATGCCCTCCCCCCAGACCAAAAAAATCTAAACCTTTTCTCATGTATCATGTTTTCTTTACCTGTGATCATTTTTATTGCTCTCCTGGGGGCGCTCTCCAACTGGCTTGCATCTTTCTTGAAGTGAATGTAGTTCCCCAGTTGAGGTCTTACCAAGTGCTGAGTAGACCAGAAGGATTACTCCAAATGGCTGACGTATAAAAATGCTTGCTTATATGTCCCAGGATGAGATCTGTACTTTTCTCAACTTTATGACACTGTTGAGTCTCAGCTGATTCACTAACCCCAGCTGCTTTTTTTTCAGAACTGCTGCCTAGCTAGTCATTCCCCATCTTGTGTTTGTGCAGCTGCTGTTCCTACGCAAGTGTAGGACTTTGCACTTGTCCTTATTAGAATGGCATCCAATTTATTTCATTTATTTTTCCAATTTCTCAGGATTATTTTGAATGTTAATCCTGTTCTCCAAAGTGCTCAACTGGGATATATTGCAGGCATCATCTGAAAGTTTAATAAGTATACTGTCTAGTCAATTATCCAAGTTGCTAATAAAAAGCATTGATTAGTACCAGGCCTACGACAGATTCCCTGCACAACCCTATTTGATGCATCCTTCCAGTTTGGCAGGAAACCACTGACAGCTATGATATAAGGATTGCTTTCCAACTGGTTATACAACTGCCTCAGTAGTTTGATATTCCCTTAGACTGCTTATGAGAAAGTCATGAGACAGAGTCAAGTAGCTTACCAATGTCAAGATATTTTGCAACTACTGCTTCTTTCCTAACCTTTTTGTTTTTTTTAATTCTGTCTTAGAAGGACAATGGGTTGATTCGACAGGATTTGTTTTTGTCAGACCCATGTTGGCTGTTTATCACCTTGTTACCTTTCAAATATACATAAACAGGTTATTTGTTCCAGTATTTTTCTGGGAATTGAAATAAAACTAACCAGTCTCGTATTCCCTAGGTCCTCCTGTTTCTACATTTCAAAAGACAGGCACTTTGTTTGCCCTTTTCCAGTCTTCTGGCACCTCGTCTGCCCTCCGTGCGCTCTCAAAAACGATCGCTAGTGGCTTCGAGATTGCTTCAGCCAGATCCCCAAGTATTCTGGGGTAAATTTCACCAGGCCCAGCTAATTTGAAAATGACTAATTTATCCAAGTATGTTCTGTTCTCTCCCTCTTTCAGCCCAAGTTGTCCAATGTCACCAACACTGATCCCAATTGGCTTCTTTTTTTTTTTTTTTTTTTGTGAAGCCCGATACAAAAAGTATTAAATCATTCAGCTTCATCCATTATTAGTTTTCCCTCCCCGTTGAGCTTGAGACCAACTCTTCCCTTGGTCTTCCTCTTCCTGGTACCATACTTCTAAAACTGCAACTGTTTGTTCCACTTCCTGTTGCTTGCTAGTTGCATCTCATTTTGTGCCTCAGCCTTTCCGACATTTATCCCCATGCATTCGACTCCTTCTGAACAGTGTTATTAACTTTTTTTTAGTTGCAGCAGTTACAGACGGGAGATTGTAAAGGACAGGACATTTCGGTGTTCGCTGTGCCCCAGGGTGTAAATGCTTTGATTTGCAACACTAGATACGTGCACTCCAAAGGAGTCTAAAAGCATTTCAGTTCTCCGGAGACTTGCAAATGGTGAGAGAGAGCTGTACACCAGGCTGTAGTATATCACATAAAACATCACATACTCCTCAGAAAAGCTCAGTGAATCCTAAATAGGTTTCACAAACCCAACTAAGACCGCTGGGAGTTTTGCCTGAGCAAGAGATATAAGACTGGACCTGATGATGCTGAATCCTATCAATTCTTTTACTACAACACCAGGCATGTAATGAAAGGTTTAATAACTTAGTTTTAGCAGCTCCCCAAAACCTTGAATCTAAATCACAAGGAACTAGTGTGTCAGGATTGAACGACTGATGCTTAAAACCACAAATACACATTCTTTTGTCCAACATCAGGGAAAATTAACTAGCGGTCACATAATAACAAGGCTTCCTGGTAGATCACGTACTATGAAACTTACCTTTACATTTTAAATTTCCTGGAGCAGGGATTAGCATTTATCACACTTGTACGGTGCTTAGAGTAATAGAATGACGACTTGGTTGAATCTTCCTCGTGCTGCTGCAGCATAAGTGTGAACTAATTATTCCTAATCCTTCACACTCCAAAAGAGCCCTGTGAAGAGAAGCTAGAGCATTTGTAACAGTTTGCAAGGGGCTGTTTAAGTGTTTCCTGATTCACTTTGAGCAGGAAGGGGAAGGTGCTACTGATGTCAATGAACACAGCTCTCTTATGAGAAAGTATTACTTACATGAATAAAGACTGCAAAATTAGACAACCAGTAATTAAGGACCTGGCTGATAAATTTGGACCGAGGAGCGATGGTACAATTAGGTAATTTGCTAATTGCATTGAAGAATTAGGTATTAAAAAGTAGAATGTCTCTTTTTTTTTGGTTTTAAGTTCCTAAATACGTACATCTGTCTTGGTAGCACAGAGCTGATATATTCTGAAGAAGATAAAGACTTGTTAAGGACTAAGGGACAGATATTTTAGTGCTCAAGTACTTTTAAAAAAATCCGCCTCTAAGGCCCTTTGCATTTGATAGGAGTCTTGCTAATGAGACAGGCAATTCTCCCATTAATTCCAAGGGCCCAAATCCTTGGCTGGCTAAATTGCTTCCCTTCACTGTCATCCCCATTTACATCAGCCCAGCAGGAGCTGTAGCAGAGATGGGACCAGTATGCAATAAGCCCCATAGTCATTAATAAGACAGCTGAACTTAGCATGATTAATCAGAGTAGATGCTCTATAGTCCCGGCAAGGGAAGGCTACAATCTGTTACAGGTGGAAAACCAGGGTCATTTCACAGACCAGTAAAACAGTTCTATGACATGCATTCACTTACAAGCAGATCTAACCCAGAAGCTTTACCTGTCTGGGATTTCCAAGCCCCGTCTATAAACCTCTCTTTATACGGTGCTAACCGTTCTCAGTGAAAAACAGCTAAGCATCAGCAACATTAGGATCTGGTCACAATCCTTCCTGTAGTCTTTTTTTTTTTAAAAAGCATTCAAGATCCTTGCTTTAAAAAAAATCCCATTCAACAGATTCTTGCCCAAGATGCAATGAGCCAGATTCCTTCCTCTGCTGATTTCATACTTCCCCGATGGCGCTATGGCCAGAACCGGGCCTCGTGATGAGCAGAGCATTTTCCCGAAGTGGGGAACTGGCTCCCACAGCCACTTCTCTCCCTACCCAGGCACAAAGAGCAAGTCAGGGGAGCGTGAAACATCCCTGCACTTTATTTAAATTCTTAGCGGCCCAATGATCCATTTAGGATTGGAGCCACCTGATACAAGTCAAGGCAGCCTTGAGGCTGAATTATATCCATGGTCTATCTTTCTTGTCCAATTGATTCAAGCAGATTGGTAATATATCTGCTATGGTGTTAAATAGTTAAACAAGAGCACTTTGTTAGTGCTTTCTGTATATTCATCTCATTCTGATGAAAGTTAAATTAAGAAATCAATTTTTCAAATCTTATCACAGGCATAAAAATTCTCTTCATTATCCAGGTGGAAGCACTTTGAGCACTGAGATTACTTCAGAACGCAGAGTTAATAATAATTGTGCCTTGACTTCATCATGATGTTTTATTTCTTACACATTCATTTGGATGAAGTGTTGACAATCTGACTCAGTGCTGAACAGGTCTACCGGCTACCCAGCATCAGCTTCTTAAGGGGCACTTTAAAAGATATTAGGTCAAAGCACTACTCATTAAGCAGGTTCATTTTAGTCAGCTCCAAAAAGATTCATGCATTTGTGCTATTACCTGTACATGATATGCACTAGCTTATATTTGGTCTGAACCAATCTTCACTGAAGATTTTAATTCATTGATTTTCATTTTTAATTCATTGATTTTAATTGGAACTGGATCAGAGGGCATATAAGGGTTATTGCTTGGAATACATAAGCAACATAGATTTCTCTTCTGGGCATATTTAAATGTTGTGATTATAATTGTGGCAACATACAGTATACAGGCACTTCTCAAATTAGTTTATCACACACAAATACTGACCATAAGGTATATTTTCTCTATACAAGAGGAGACTGCAATCATGTTGTATTATTAAGCTTTGTAATCCACTGTCATAGAGCACTTTCAATTGCACAATGAAAAACCCACAGTCTTGGAAACGGGCGGTTTAAATGTAAGAAGCTCGAAGGGATGTATGCAATCCAAAGCTGCTTCTAAATCAGCGCACAAGTAATCTCAGCTGCAAAGTCCAAGCCTTTGTCAAAAATGTGTTCACGTGCTACACTCATGAAGATACATTCACTATCTGGATAGATAGCCCTCTAAATGGATGTACTTATGTATGTATTAGTCTCACATGATTCCTGCTCAGTTTGACTATAAGTGTATGTAACGTGACTTAGATATTTGGAAAAAAAATAATGTTCATTGTGAGGAATAGGGTTCCTAGAGTGTATGTTCAGTTGGATGCTGTCTGTAAACAAAAAAAAATGTGCATGTGCAAACACTGTCATTTCTGTTTTTCATTTAAATGGTTTCACTTCGCATTGTGCTGTGACAAATAAATGTTATACCTGTGTGAAACCACTGGGTTGCCCAACTGGTAAATGTTATTCCGTACAACTTTAGTAACGCAGCTCTGTAAAAGCAGTCCCGGTTTTGGACTTTGGACTTGATCCGCTTGTATTTTAGATGAGAAGCTTTTAATCAGTCTTTCCTTATTTGTCACTTGTGGAAATAGTAAACACAACTTCAGTCTCATCTGAAAATCTCAGCACTTAGCATGTTTCGTTTCAGAAACGAATGGCAATAACAGCAGAACCGAAATGTTCCAAGATACCGGTTATGTCTACGATTGTGGAGGACGGGTTCCTAAAACCGGGATCTGTCGCATGAATTCATATGGTGGGGGTAGGACAGCTTATTTTACTGCTGGTATTCTGTGATTTGATGGCAAAGGTCCCCCGGATTTCTAGGATAGTTGCCCTGAGACTATACCAGGTACACCAAACATTGGATTCCCTCTTGAGCCTTGTGATCTTTAGAGCAAAAATCTCCAGGCGGCTGGTTAAATGCTCAAGAAAATCTATCCAGAACACCAATATTGTAAGTATTCCTCAGAGTGCTGAACTGCAGACAACTTGGCAGGTATCCAGTCTTGATGTAGCATCCGCTGCTGGGGTTTTAAATCCATAAGTGACTAGTCGTGAGAGAGGGAGTTTTGCATTCTCTTGTTCGAGCCAAATACACCCATAATTCACTTCGATGTGTCAGCAGTATTTATTTATTCCTGCCAGGTATTGATAGAAAGCTTTTCTGGAAGCAAGAATGAAAACGCAGTAAGATGAATTTTAGAAAGCAAATAATTGGGATTTCTCATGAACTGACCCAAGTCCAGCTTAAAAAGATAGAAAATGTGGGACTTGGGATAAAGTTCTTGGGGCAAAATTCCAGGTTTCTGAAGCCTGACAGTACCAATTCCTAGTTTTGCTATGGACTTCATGTCTGACTATGAGCAATGCTTAATTTCTCTCTTCCTCAGTTCACCCATCTGTAAAATGGGAGGTTAGCTTTTTGCTCCGCCTAGCCTCTTTTGGGCTAGGCTTGTACCTAAATTGCTTTTCAGAGCAAGGACTGTTCTTATAAGGTCTAGCATGCTTGAACCCTGATCTTAGGGTTTCTAAACACATCTGTAGCATAAATAAAGGAAAACTTCATACTAAGGATGATTTTTCTTGAAGAATTCATGAACAGATGTTGCTTTCTTATCAGACTCAACTGGGGAAGTCTAGTCCTCGCCCTGAGGCCTATCATAATAGCTAACAGACAAAAGATTGAGCATACTTACTGCTACAATTAAAAACCTAATTGAGTAAGATGAATAGCAAAAAGCTTGTAGGGGTGGATGGGGGAATGCATCTCTATTGAGAAGAGAAAATGGGGTATAACCTCTGCAAACAGAAGACAGAAAGATTGCAAATGTGGTTGAGTAGAAAGTGATAGACTTGATCAATATAAGGCCACCACACTCCTTTCAATGTTATGCTAACAATCCACTTTCAATGTCAGAGTTCCCACCTTGTATTAATCATTTTCCCCCAATAATGTTCCTTTTAGTGCTTAGTTGGTTTCCATACAAATCCACTGATGGCTTTTCATTCATTTTTCATAGACTTTGCTATCAGTCAGGGGTATTTACATAACTTGATGGAAGTGTCAGCTGTACTGAATTATGTTCTGCATAGGCCCGAAGTCATTTCTCCCTTGCTGTTAATGAGAAATAACAGTCTGCATCAGGTAAATGTAAGAGCTGTAATAGCTTTATCAAGTCACCTTAGTTCTTTTGGCAGGTGGAGGAAGTTCTCAAAACTTTTTCAGACCATGACCCCATGTGGTTGAGTGACTGAACCCCTCCTTGCAGTGTCCCTTAGCACAGTGAGAGCACAGGTCCCACTTAACCCTCTGTCTGAGGCACACAGCTTGTGCTGCATTGCGATACCATGGGGTCTGCCAGCTCCCGACCCCACATAAGGAGTCACAAAATAAACTACCACACTGCACTCAGACAGCACCTCAGTGCTTAATTCCTTACACCATTTCCCATTATTGCGTATGAAAACCGCTAGGAGAGTTGTTCCAATGATGACTATGTGCCCCTACTAGCATCTGAGGAAGATGCATTTCAGCTAATTAAGCAAGTGTTCTTGAGAAAGTATTTTCTGGGAAATACTGGAGTACAAAAAAGGACTAAAATCTAAACCCTTTCATGCCCTAAAAAAAAACAAAAAAACCCATTGGAAATCACAGGTGGCTTCTCTTGAAAGAGCCACTAGTACCATTTGCGATCCAGTTCTCAGTACCCACCATAAGTCGGACAATTACCTACAGTGTTTATCTCCACAAAGTTAAGGCACTCTCAGAGAACATTTGAAAAACCTGTTTAACCTAACCTCCCTAGACCTAAAAGTCACTTAACTCTAGGAAACAATGGGCAGCGCTTCCTTGTGATGTATCTACGTCAAGCTGGGCAATTATTTTGGGCTTCCTGAGTTTTGGCAAGCCATTGAGGGCTGCATGACAGGCAGCCCAGAGCAGATAACTATTAATTTTCTAAATTTTTTAGGGGCCCCGCAGGCCAGATAGAATGGCCTGGTGGGCTGCATCCGGCCCCCGGGCCGCATTTTGCCCACCCTTGATCTACATATTGACTATTTAACCATGCAGTAAACATCTTAACGTCTACATGTGCACCTCTATTAGTGCACACAAAACTAATAAACTCTGCAGCAGGGTAGGACTTGTAAATACAAGCCCTACCCTGCATGTGTAGATGCCAGGTCAGCTGGCTGGGGCATGAGGGTGCTTCAGTATGGGGGCTTCATTGGGAAGCTCATGCCCCAGCCAGCCCCTCTGCAGCACATTGAGCCAGGTCGGAGCAGCCCTGGGCTGGCAGGCTGAACCCCGATGCTCCCTGCCCACTGGGGCTGCTGTGACCTGGCTCAATGTGCTGCAATCCAGGCGCACATGTAAACTGCACGCCTGAGAGCAATAAACTCGGGAGCAATAAGCTCTGGAGTTTATTGCTGCACATTAATGGTACGTGTAAATGTGCCCCCTGAATCCGAATACAAGCATAACAGCTGGCTTCTCTTTACATGACAGGACAGACTTGAACTCCGTCTGCCTACACTTAAATTCTGCAAAGAAGCAATTTGAAGCACTTGGACCCAAAATCTTCAAAGAGGTTTAGGTTCTTAACTGCCATTGAGGTCACTGGGTCTGGGACCCTTCTTGGCTATTCACAAAAACCACTAAATAGGTGTTATTAGGCAACTGTGTCATCTCACTGAAGTCAAAGGTTCGCAGGCTTCTTTGGGTCTCTACAGAGCATCCTTCTACACATCAGCCACACAGACAGAACTGCCCCATTGCAAGGAACAGACAACTGACAACCGGGGATGGGGGTTTCTACAGCACAGGAATAAATGAGATCCTTTATCCAGATTCCCTTCTCCCCCGGTAGGCTGACTTTGTTTTGTTGCTTGAGCAGCCAAGCTACATAGGCTTCCGTATCGAAACCATTTTCATCTGCTCCCTGAAGACGTTTGACCTCTGGCACCAGTGTTCACAGTTCTCCCCTCAGTGCCCCTCTGCACTGTAACTACAGGGAGCTGGGTTGCGTTTCTAGCTCTTTGGCTGCTTGAGCCCACTGAAGTCCAGGTCCCCTGTCTTGCCCTCTATCAAGAGGACTGGATGTGGCCACAGAGGTCCTGAGCTTTGCTTTTTTTTCACTCAAGTTCCCATGGAGGCCCCAAATATAAAAGCAGAACCCAAGGGCATTTGTGCACGAGCACCACCAACCCTATGAGTTGCAACCAGGAGGCACAGCTTAAAGACTAAATGGATGGTGAGGAATTTGCTCCTTCCCCTGTAGAATCTTAAATGAAAGATCTCTTTCCAAATTCATTTGATAAATAATCCACTGAGGGTGCAGGGTGGGTGGGGAGCAGGCACTTCTTGACAGACTCAGGAAATAGCCTCTCAAACGACTGCTCTCCGATTTGTCACTGTTTCCTCATAGCTGTTGTTTTATCCATTGAGCCTCATGGGATCAGATGCCAGCCACTGGCTGATTAGCTCACATGAAAGTGGATGCATTTCAAGAGGTTTGGGGTGACGTATGAAGTCTCATTACAGTTTATTAGCAGCGCTTTCTTCCGATGCAGAGCAAGCAAGTTGAGTTGCTCTCAGGAAGTCAGAATAAGGTCCAAAGAGTCTCCACTTCTGGAGACTGGCCTTCATCACCGATGTAGAGCCTCACCTTGTGGCTTCCACTTCCCCTCCCAAAGCCACCATAAACATCAGCCCCAGCTTTCTCCTGAAATGGGCTATTTGTGAGGTTTTCTCTGTAGACCTCTTGTCTTCCTCCCCATCTCTCTGCCACAGAGAAGCCCATCAATACTCGTTCTTGAACTGGAGCCAATTGACAGCTAAACTGAGTTAAGAGGCCAGTAAGTTATGGCACTATCCCCTGACACTGGCAGTTGCAAAAGGAGCCACATCAGACAGTAGCCTCACTTTTATCCTCACTGGATAAGGGCACGTTCTTCAAGAGGATCTGCAGGCACATCCGTTTCAGAGACCCAACCTCAGACTCCAGCTTCATTAGGTTGGATGCCCCCACACTGAGGCCTGCAAAGCTGGACAACACCTGAAAATCTGGGCCTCTTTTTGTTTTAAAAAAAAATGATTAGTACAAAATATTGGACCCAAGTCACTGTGCTGAATTGGCTGACCATGCTACAATTCAGGCAGTAACGACTTAAACATTATTTTTTTTTGGTGGCTAAGTAGGAACACAAGACTTGTCACTTAATTAGACACAGTTGAGACCCCTTAAAAAAAAAATGGTGCCTAGTAGCCCGAATTAAATATTGAATCCTAGAGCCAAATAAATAAATAAATACAATCAGAGCTTACTGAAAGACCAGCAAACACTAGAAGATAATTGCATCATGAAGTTCTAGTACATCTAAGCCTTTGAATGGAGTTAAGAGGACACTGCATGCAGAAGAAATTAGATCCTGAAGCTGCTTTTCATACAGGTAAGCAAAAAACTGATCAACGCAACACTCAAGGCATCATAAAGGAATAGCAGGTAGTAGGGTAGGATGTTTTACAAACCAGAAGGCATCACAGATGGAATCGGTGCCTGCTACCAGCACTGGCACAGTAATGCATCAAGAGGCAAAGAGCTAGATCTGCTCGAGGAAAGAGCTGCCTCCAGTGCGGCAAGAAGCAAACTGTGCAGGGATGTTTCAGTATTACTCAGTTCTCATTCAAGATTTGGGTTTTTTCCCTTTTAAAAGGAAAAATGTTGTCAGTGCAAGTGCTTGGTGGTTTTGTTTTCTGACCCACTGAACTGAAAATGTTTGTGAATTTTAGTTAAACAGATACAAATTAATTCAGTTCAGTGCGTGGTACTCTCTCCTACCTTGGGGGTCTTCAAGAGGAGGCTGGACAGATATTTGGCTGGGGTGATATGATCCTGGCACCCGTTCCTGCCCGGGGCAGGGGGTTGGACCTGATGATCTGTTTAGGTCCCTTCCGACCCTAAGTACTATGATACTATGATATGTATAAGCCAGGTTAATGAAACCCAGCATTTTTCTTTTTCAAATCATGAGACAGTATTTCTGTTACTAAAGCTGCTGTTTCTATACGTGGTAGACCCAAAAGAGTGCTCTGAGTGAGTAATATTGTGCAGTAATAGAGAGACATACGGGGAGGGCGGGTTTAATTAAATAAAAGCATGATCAACCTCTTAATTGGCTAAGGCTTCAAGCAGACAATAACAAGTGGCTGAAAGAACTGCCATTTCTCTATGAAAGAAAAATGCAACCGAGAGCCAGTCGGTGATTGGAACAAATTGAAAGTGTCCAACTGAAAAACATGTGATACGTGCCATATCCTCACGTATCACAGTCTGAGAGAAGATAACTTCCATTAGAAGACACCTGGAAGAGGGATCATCCCCATGCCCGCGTTCTTCACTCAGCATCAGAACCAGAATGATTAAACTATACGATGGAAGCCATTTGAATCATATCACCTATACAAAGGTATAAGAGAAAGAAAACAACAACCTTATATTGGGATATTTCAGAGTCAGTTCCTAGGAAAAACACAGCTGCCAGTGACAGTTTTCATAATGCTTTGCTTACGAGTCCTCTTGGAAATCTGATGTCCAACAGTCATTTTAAGTACTGTATTAAACCTCCAAATAATGGAGGAGTGGGGGGGAAAAAAAATCAAAGTTTTAACAACAGAAGAAATGCTTAAAAAAACACTACAACATCTGTGCTTTGTTTAGTTTAACAAGGGACTCATTTGTAGCGTATAGAAGACTGCCTGTAGCTGCAATGAGTATCTAATGCAATTGCACACACAGTTTAGACGTTATAAAGGGAAAGCCTGTCTCCCGACTCAGATAACATTAAAGGGAGTTCTCATGGGAGCTGGTAAGGGGTTTAGGACCAAAGCAAGGGGAACAAAAAACAAACCAAAACTAAACTAAAATCAACTCTCAGACATGCAGCCCCCGTAGAGACTCCTTATGGTCTTTAATGAGGCTAGGAACAAGCATTTCACCTTTAGACCGTGCTCCATGCTTTGCCCATTAGGTTCTGTGGATAATGGATTTGATCAGTGGGAAGCGTAGGAGAAGTTACCTTTGTCGTCTATAGCCAAACATTTAACATGCTTCT